GAAATCGCCTCCAGACTGCAGCGCGGCGCAAAAAAAAAGAGCGTGGAAATTTCAAGAGTGTCCGAAACGAAATAAATGTTGGTACAGCTCGGCACGTAAAATTAACTCGAGCACGAGCTAAATTGTACAGAAATATAAAATTAGTGGTTAAATGTGCGCGAGCGCTACTTCTGAGCGTGGCCTCATGGGTTATTAATCAAAAGTGCGTTAGAAAGCTAGCTCGTGTGATGATAATAACTATCCTCTCTCTCATGGCTCGAATGTATATGCATGAATATTAAGCTTTGCATAAAAGTGGGATGAAATTCATGAAAATGGCAGGCAACCTTTTAAATATAGTTTCGAACAATTTTTCATGCCTTTTTGTCGGGGCGAGAGCTATCAGTGACGCGCGAGCGTGAAGCTTGCACCGTGCAGCGTCGCTCGAGCGTTCATCCAACCCTATAACAGGATAAATAAAAATTCAGATTATAATTCAGATTTTTCGCGCTTTGGTAACTGGATGCGAGTCCGATCCGACGACAATAATTCATCGACAGAATAAATTTATCAAAATGTAGGAGGAAACGACCAGCGTGTTACACAAAACAATGTTAAATGTAACGTTTGAACGAGAGTCTTGACGTTTAACTCTATCGATAATTTTGCTGCACGCCGAAGTCTCGTAACTCATGTCCTTACACTGTCACTGCTGCTGCTGCTGCTGCTGCTCCGGGTTATGCTAATCGACGCTCTGATATTGTGTCCGTGTGTGCATGTGTGTAGGAGCCGTGTAGCGTGTTTATATATAGACCAGTGGGATGTCCAGGTCGGATTGATGATGTCTTGGGAAGTGTGACCGACGGATGTCTCTGATTAACGGTCGATATGCTTCGTTATACCCGGCCAGGTATATATGTACAGACGTATAACATGGATCGACGCTTGATTGCATGCTTGCTTGATCCCTTCCCGTAGCGTCAGAGTTACAAGGCTCCTGCATATAGCCCCGTCAGTTGATGTAACGTTGATAAAATAATCACGTGCACGATAATGTGAACGGCACTGAAAATGTTCTTAAATATGCTTTAAATGTTTAATTGCAGCGAATGTTTCGGATGTTATAGTTTGATGTACACGATTCCAATTCGGGTTTGAATAAGATCAGATTTCTGATTGTTGTGGGCTGGTTATGTATAAAATTTCAAAAATGACGAGACACAATGGAGAAAAATGTGACCCAAGCATTGTCAGCTACACTATGTTCATTTGACTAATAGTAGCAGTCATTTTTTTACTTTCACTTTTAGATATGTATGGCTGATTGACTCCGCCCACAACTACGCATCATTTGAAGTGATGATATTTTCTAACGAAACTAGATCACTACTTCTCTATGTATGTTTGCCTGATAAAACGACTTTGAAAAAATCTCGACAATTCTCTTTTTTTTTACTTTTGACTTTCACTTTTAAAATTGATGATTGACTAGGCAAAAAAACCATTTCTTAACCGTCAGTAACCCATAAATTGATCAACTCTTCTCAAATTATGTTTTCCCAATCAATGTCATCTAACAAAATAAACTAAAACGACTCATCTTTATTTTTTGCATTAAATTTTGTTTCAATTTTGGGAAGTCCATTATAAACAACAATGAATGAAATTGAGCGTTTTCGGCTTCATTCTTTCATCAATAAAACAAATTTGCATCTCCCACTCTACGATGTACCTGAAAGAGTTTTAACTTGGCTCCGTTAGTGCTCAAGACTTCGAGTTAATATTTTTCCAAATACCTGCTTCCAAGTTATGTTCACCTAATAAGATGGCCTTGAAGAAACCACAATCAAGTCATTAATTATGTCATCACTATAATAAACTACTTCCAGTTTTGAGGCGAAGAATTTTAATAATCTTTAATTATTTATTTTAACAATGAAGTAATAATCCGGATTAAGCCCCATCAACCATTTTATATAATTATTGACTAATGGGTATAGACATTTTCTACTTTCTCTTTTTCTGGTGACTAATTGACTCCGCCCACAATTGCGACTCTTTTTGAAGAGATGATATTTTTCTAACGAAACTAGTTTACGACTCTCGAGCTGTGTTCAAAATTCATTTTTGAGCGACAATATGAAATTTCTACCAATACATTGGCTAAGAGCTTCGTTTTGAAAATGTGATTATTCCTACTTTAATTTTTAAATATTAGTAAAATAAGACATTGTCTCATTTCAAAGTGCATAAATTAGTCAGCAATTTCTTTATTTCTATCAAAAAAGGGTATTTAGACATTGTAAGGAAGATCCATGAACTTTTCGGGGATAAAAGTCCGGATCAAACTTAATTCAATTTTGAATAATGTTTCCTTTCTATATTTGCAAGCTCTAAAGTTCTCAGATTCTTTTAGAATTTTTTTTTTAAATTTGAACAATTTCTAGTGAAAAAGCACTCAAATACACGAAAAAATTACTTTATCTCTACAAAAAAAATACTTTTCATTGTAAATTAAGGCACAGAGTTGTGTATCTTGTAAGATTGTTTCAGCTGCGTACTTTTTATTTTTATATCATTGAGTCCGAGGAGTTGGCTAAGATTTTCTCGCACGCTTTGATACAACCCTAGTTCAAACTCGTTTTCAATCTTATCACAGATGTTTTTAACGTATAGTTACAAAAATTTAACAAAATTCTCTTCATGTTCAATCTTTATAAAGAAACACAAACTGCAATATTCGCGTTTAAAATATGCGTTAAACATACATGAAGTAGGATACAACATGCAGCCGGGCATTGTACGCGCGTGGAGCGATCCTCGAAAAGTTAATTTAGGACCACTTGAATATTCCGTTTACATACGAGCTCGGTAAAACGGGAGGCCAGTGGTACGAACGAAGAGAGAAACGCGGGTTTTACCTGACGAATTGACTCAGGGGAAGAAGAATGAGAGAGAGAAAATGTATTTTATGCATGCGACATTCGCGTTATACCCCATACACCTGAAATTATGCTTGCATACGTGATGCAATGACACCGTGGAAGTGAATGAAAGTAAACTTTAGCCCGCAGATATTAACTAATAGCTCTGTCAGGTGTAATGTTAATTATTATTTTTGTAAATTTTGGATTCTAGTCTGTAATAAGAGTACATGCGCTCGCTCAATGTCAAGCATGAATTATAAATGATCGCTTAAAATTGCTAATATAATTTTGCTTAAATTCACCTTTTAATTTAGACGATTTACAAGTCAAGCACATCAATTGATCAATTATATTCATCGAAAAATTTAATATATGAATGATAAATTAACTAGAATAGTTAGTTTAGAAAAACATTTCAAGCAAGTTCATGGTGAAACGACTAATTATTTGGCTATTTCAGTCTCGAGTATAAAAGCTTCTGGCCGTGTGTCGCAGAGTGAAAACTCGGCTTGATAAACTTTTCAAATGCATAAAAATTATCTCTTTCATACATCTTCGAGGCACTTGTATTCGCAAAACATTTCCGCGCGAGGCGAATTAAAAACCTTTTGAAACCTTTTCCCAGCCTTTCGTAGCTATGCAAATCGTACAAATAAACCACGCGAAGAAGCAAAAAAAATTTCTTCAGTTTCTTGGACAAGGTAGAGGAGTGTATGCATAACCGAGAAACAAAGAGGTAAATATGATATAAAAAGGAGCAAAGATATACCCATACGTAGCTCATGAATATCAATAAATAAAGAGGATAGCATACAAACATAACACTCACGAGAACAAAAAAGAGACTGAAGAAGTACCGAGGAACATAAGGGCAAAATAATATAATAAATTGAAAAAACCATACAAAAGACAACGAACCGAGAACGTACAAAAAAACAGCACGAGGGAAAGGAGAAGAGTTTGGCGCGGAGAAAAAGTCGTGCGCACACAAATCCGAGGATAATTTAGTATGTACACATACGTACACGCAATACTCCTCCTTTATCTATAGCAGCAGGCGCATTAGTAGTAGCCCGGCGCGAGCTTTATAGTATATGTGCGCTCAGCACAGGGCAGTAATGCCTTCTTTTGCTTTAATTGTCGCAATTCAAGAGAAGACTGCGTGACCAGCCTGGGTAACCTCTTTCTCTCTCTCGCTCCGCGTGACATTGCAGAAGCTATCCACACACGCACACATATACGAGAGAGAAAACGAAATTGGCCTCGACAAATAGAAAGCAAAAAAGGAGCGAATGGGTGAGAAAAAAACTACCGGGATGAAGCAGAGGATAAGTATTTTTCATGAACCTATAGTATCGTTGCATCGACACAAAGTTCGTTGGTTTATATCCGAATCGACACAGTTTTTCTTACTAATATCGAAAAATTACTCGAATAGATAATCCAAGTGGAACTCTATAAATAATACAAAGTGGTGGTACGGCGTGGCAAGATGCTTTATCAAGGTTTATTGAGTGGAATCATGCGGCACCGTCTGTACTCGCTCACTGTGCTCCGTTTCTCTTTTTCATTCTATGCTTTTTCAAGTTTGCTTTAAAGAAAAAATTCTGCTCTCTTCGAACCCTGTCATTAAATTTAATTGAATTTTCAGCGGATGTACTGGTTTCTTGTTTTTTTTTACTTTCTTTTATTTCTTTTTCCTTCGTCTTTCATTCTCCATTTCCAGGGGTGTATTGCCTTTGTCATTACCATTTCCTTCTCCATCGACTCGAAAGGATATGTTTCAGGAACTTCGACGACGAGTGTTTTACAAATTTACGTTGCCCGTTTCGCAACGTCGCCTAGATCGGAAACACGAATTCGAGTATACGTACGCCTCGTGCGCGAGAAAACAGAATTGTACAGCCGCTCGAATATGTATTTCTATCTATACTTCTGTTCTATTATATGTATTCACATATTGTTTCTGTTCCTATGAACCTTTGGTAGATGGAATATTTTTTTCATCTAATTTCGAACTTTGTACATATTTTGAGATTGATTCGATTTGACGCATGAAATCAAAATTAAAAGAGTTTTTTTCAATGTACTCACCTGTCATAGTAGTAGTCCCTGAAACAGAAAAAAATGGTCGTTAGTCATTTTTTTCATGATTATTTTGTCTATTATGCATTATATTTTTTATTCTATTTAATCGATGAAATGATGATCCTCGACTCAAGATCTCTCTAGCATATGTGTAAGATGGTAAAAAAATGATGTATGCACCGAGTGCATAAAAGAACATTCCAACTGTATATGAAAAAAATCACGATCAAAAAGATAAAAAAATTCTCGCGCGTGCAGTAGAGCTGTGAATATACAAAAAAGAAGTAGCAAACGAGTGCATAACGATGATGCAGAGCGTCCATCATCATTCGTCGTCGTTGTCGCAAATTCTTATCCACTTGAAACAGAAGCTCGTACGGCGGCGGCAGCGACAAGTGCTTCTTTCTTTCTTTTCTCCGCGCCACCTCACTCGTTTGCCTGAGCAGCCGCGGATGCTGCCACGAGAGAGGCAGACGCGTACATGTATTCAGTACCAGTGTAGTGCCAGTGTAGTAGTGAAGGATTACGGGCCTCATTTGTGACTTCTCTTTCGCGAGTGAGAGAGAGAGAGAGAGAGAGAGAGAGAGAGAGAGCAAGAGCGCAGCACACAGCGCCTTCGGCTCATCGCTCGCTAGGTGCAGGGTTCGCGCTCGCCTGTCTGCGAGCGAGCTTCAGTCGCTGGAGCTCGAGGCGTGTGCGGGGCTTGTGCGCGCCTAGAGAGAGAGAGAGAGTGAGACACATCACGCGAACGTGATTTTCGCGGTGCCAGCTCGAGTGGAAAGCACTGTCCTATACTCGCGCGCACGTGCCTTTCGGGCTAATCTGGCGTACACGTTAGATCTGTGTGTGTCTGTGTTGATGCACCGAGACTGGAGCGAAAAAAATTGCAATTTCTTTTTCCTATGTACAATGTGTGAAACATTTTTAGTTGTTTTTCAGCGCGACCACTGCAAGTGGTTTCCAAAACTTGCATTTCTTCCCATTCTCTTAATTTCATATATTATACACGTTTTTCTTCTACGACCGGCTAATGAGACGACAATGAACTGTATACAAAAAAAATACAGAGAAAAGAGAAGAAAAATACACGCATCTTAAGCTGTATATTAAGCAGCGTGGGCTCTATACATATAAAGTCGGAAAATTAGACGTTGTAAAACCCAACGATCCTACCGGAGTCTTTTTTATTAAAATGAAAGAAAAATAAAGAGAGTACGAAAATTAGGAAAGTAAATGAGAATCTGAATAAATTTACGCCCGCGCGATACCGAAAAGCCTGAGTAAAAGATAAAAGACGCGCGCGCGCTGGGCTGCAGCCCGCACCGGTACAGCTTGGCTACTCATAATATAAGCATATATATTCGCGCAGAAAAAGAAAAAGGTGGGAAAAAAGAGAAAGGGTGCAAAAGTCAGAGAATAAGAAACTGAGAAAACACAGGGAGGAAGCCGAATGTCCCGAAAAAGATAAACAGTGAGATTACATTTACATTGAAAAGGGGTGTGGAAAGGAAAAAGAATACATATACACATATAAAGCGCATGCCAAGGGAGAGCGAGAAAAGAAATCATATACATTCCAAAAAAAAAGGGAGAGAAAGAATAAAAGGTGCGAGTAAGATAAGTGTATAAGACAGACACGAGGACGCAAGCCTTGGAAGAAAAAATTTTTCCCTTCGCCGGGGATGAAAGTATATACACACGGCAGTTGAACCAAACAGACGAAAAAAAAGAAACTAACAAATAAATATATATAATGCGAGCGCGTGTTTGCGACGCGGCTGATGAGTTGAGAAAATGAAATCGTACGTGTACATTTTTTTTCTCGCTTCCTCTCTCTCTCCTCGGCTTGGTAGGGAAGGGATCTTCATTTAAAGCCATCCAAAATTCAAACGCGTGTTTAATTTTTTGTACAAAACAAAACCGGTTGACTGTCTCTCGCTCGACTACTCGCTCGCGTCGCGCACATTGTTCTTTAATGAAGTTCTTGGGCATAGTCTCGTGCGGCTAGGCGAGAAAGAAGCGCAGAGAAGAGGGAGGAGAAAATTTCGACGCTCTTGGGAGCTGCCTAGCGTACACGGCATAATAAATGCAGCAAAATCCAGACGTGTAATCTACTGCTCAAATCATGAAAAATTGCCGCGCAAAGCCACGCCGCGCGCCCTGCTAGTCTCACACGCGTAATACGTAATATATAATTATATCAGTTCATAATAAAGCCCGAACCAAAATGTTACGGACGAGCGAGCACCGAGAGAGAGAGAGAGAGAGAGAGAGAGAGAGAGAGAGAGAGAGAGAGAAAGAGAGAAAGTCAAATTGTGCGACTAGACATCGATATTACACGGCTCTCTCGTTGTATATCTTCCTCGTATTATAGAATAACGCACGTATTTATGCATGCACGTATTTAAACCTGGAGAGCATTTCCAATTATGACATTATTCGCATCGCGTATTATGTATAAAGTTCATAATTGAGTCGCTCGCGCGTATTATATGTGATCGTATAAATATAAAACTTTTTAATGTATTGCATATCGATGTGTGCGCGACGGAGAGGGAAGGAAGGACGGCGTATTATCGATAGAGGCCGAGAATAAATATTTTAATTGTGGTTCGATGACATTCGACTGGGTCGTTCGATCGAATTATTATATCCTCAGATTTAGTGGCTGAATAAGAGCGAGTGCAGTGCTTCGTGCGCTTTACGATGTATGCATACACGTCGCGGTCGTAAGAAAATGATTGCACGGGTTAAAAGCAAAAATATTTGTAAAACATCGAATGCCGTTTGTTCGTTGACGTCCATTGGTACACGGCGATGTCCGAAAAATGGAAGAAACGCGACACTCTTTTAATCATGTTCCCCGGTCCATGTGTTTAATAATAAAGTGCGCCTCGACAATAGCATTGCAGTTATCACGCGCTCGGACGCAGCGACACCCACCCACACACACACACACACACACAAACACGCGTGTTATATCGCTTGTCGGTACGCGCTTACTCTCGTTCGCGAGCGGCGCCGAAATAACAAAGGGTCAACGAATAAATGCTTCGCCAAAGTCATTAGAGAAGGAGGTTATAACATTTTAATGGTTATTACCGACGAAAACGCATTGCCGTGGGGGGCTTTTTTGCACCCATCCTCTCGCTCTCTCGCTCTTTTTCTCTCTTTTCGCGCCGTGTGAATCCGGCACGCGTGCAGCATCGCGTTCAATTTTCTAGCCGACGCGTCGTTCTTTTTTCCCCTGTTATTTATTATTATTATATATTTTTTTTGTATAATTTTACCCTGTTTTTATGTTTTTAAGCCCGACGCGACGAATTCGTTTGTCTTTGTGTCGGTGGCAGTATTTATGTGGATAATTGAGCCCGGGGATTACGAGAGCTCGCATATGTATACGTCTCGCACACCTACACACACGCGTTGTTTGTACCGGTGTAAATAGCAGCAACGGCGAGCAAGAGACGAAATTTTCAGCACCACCGCGTACATGCGGAGTACGGGTAGCGTATACTCGCTGCCGACCAATGAATAGTTAATAAGTTTATTAAAGTCTGGCGCTTTAACGGAGGGCTAACTTACCGAGCTTATGTACTCATGCACAAACAATATAAACACGCGCGCGTACCAAGTGGATTAAAAACTTTTTATCTATAAATCTGGTGACAACCTTCGACGCTTGCACTGCAGCAACAGCAGCAGCAGTGCAGACGTTATATTAAACGGAATTGTTACGTTTTATGTGCGATGCGTTACGATGTTTGACCTGGCCGACGATTAATTATCATCTGCAGTTAGCGCACGGAAGAGAGCGAGATACATTTCATTGCGCCTTTAATCCAATGAAACATAGCAATAATATTTTTGATTAACAAAGGACGATAAATTCTACTTTCTCGGACGTTGTTTTGAGCTTATTTTTTCCTTGACTCTATCTGGCACGCGACGCGCTCGTGTGAATTACGCGAACGCGTCGAGAGAGTCAACGAAACTTTTTTCTCCACACGGTGCTCTTGAGTTATAATACAATCTGCTCGAGAGCGGCACGAGTGCTCGAAGAAAAATCCCGTGCCATCAATCGCAAATATTATAGATGGGCCCGGCCTCGTTGCACTGAACTAGAAAAAAGTGATTTGCTGCATTAAACATTCATTCAAGAGAGAGAGAGAGGGAAAAAATAGAGTCCGATACTTTATTCTCTTACAGCAATTTGAGGTGAGTGCACGAGCTCCGCTACCTGGTCTATACAGGTATGCGTGGATAATATAAGTGTATATACGGCGCGTATGGATGGAAGGCGAGAGAGAACCCGAGACACCAGAGACGAAGATATCAGCCTCTCGCAAAGTATCGTCACCGAGGGACGAGCCAACGACGACCGACGAGCCTGAAGCTGCTCTACAACGCCGCCGCATACGCGCACACATCTTCGTTCCGAGCTTCGAGAACAAAATTTTATTTTCAAGTATACTGCTCGCTCGCGCGCGCACGCGGCCCCGTCGAGCCAAGCTGCATATAGTGTATGATAAAAAATGAAGGACGAAATTAAATATTTTTTACCTGCGAGTTATGCATATATACATATACACACGTACGTGGGTATATGCGCCGCGCGGCAAGGTAAGAGAGAAATTTACGACGAGGTGTTGTTTATTTTATATATACGGAGCCGCATGCATTCTCTAAGGATGTTTATATGTATATGTGCGGCGTGTGGCTTGCAAAAAAAAACTTATCAGTTTATGCAGTATGCATGGCAAGAAAGCTGTCTCGAAAAAAACAGCTCTCATATTCTCGTACCTCCTCTAACTTTTGTAATCAATAATTTTGTCGCTGTTTTACGAATTACGCAATAACGAAGTCAGGTAATAATAGACCATGCCCAAAAAGTTAATTAAGCATTGTCAAACGTTGATTATTTATCATCGCAGCGATACAAATACAAAAAAATACGACGGCTGATTATATCAACTTTTTACTACTTGAAATTTTCAGATAATTGTCCGACCCAAAGCTTATTA